ATTTTCTCAGCCTGCATAGCAACACGGGTCATAAAACCAAAAGCCTATAAATACAAATAACACAGTCATCAATAATATATCAAGATGAGGAATCAGAAATATTGAAACACAGAAGACCTGGAGGGAGTGGGAAGGAGGAACTACAAATATAGGCAAAGTGGTGCCTTATGAACTTGAAGGACAATGGGTTGGAAGATTTAAGGGCATTTTGAGGTCCTAAAGAAGGTCCTGTACCAGTTTCAGAATGATCTAGCCTTATTAAAAACCAGGACAATTGGTATTGTACAGTCTAGTAGAATTACTGATCATTTTAACAGATTATCATTCTAGAAGATTAATTAATAATCATTCTAACAGATAAATTATCATTCAGAAGATTGATTATCATCCAACCATATTATCATTCTAGCAGATTAATTAGTAATTATCATCCAACCAGATTATCATTCTAACACATTATCATTCTAGTAGATTAACTAATGATCATTCTACCAGATTATCATTCTAGTAGAATAACTAATGATCATTCTACCAGAGCATCATTCAACCAGATTATCATTCTAGAAGATTAATTAATTAATTATTATTCTAAAGATTATCATTCTAGAAGATTAATTAATTGTGATTCTAGAAGGTTAATTGATTATCATTCTAACAGATTTATCATCATTCAACCAGATTATCATTCTTGAAGGTTAATTGATCATCATTCTAACAGATTTATCATCATTCAAACAGATTATCATTCTTGAAGGTTAATTGATCATCATTCTAACAGATTTAACATCATTCAACCAGATTAATTATCATTCAACCAGATTTATTATCATTCAACCAGATTTATTATCATTCAACCAGATTTATTATCATTCAACCAGATTTATTATCATTCAACCAGATTTATTATCATTCTACCAGATTTATTATCATTCTACCAGATTAATTATCATTCAACCAGATTTATTATCATTCTTCTAGATTAATTATCATTCAACCAGATTTATTATCATTCTTCTAGAATTATTATCATTCAACCAGATTTATTATCATTCAACCAGATTATCATTCTTCTAGACTGAAAATCATTCTAGAAGATTGATTATCATTCTAGAACGTTGAATATCATTCTACAAGATAAATGAAAGATTTGTACCTGATTGAAATTTTTGAAGAGATATTCTTTATAGATAGCATCTCTATCAGTGACTGTTGTCCAACCAGCTGCTGTTAATGGTGCTAGAGTTGTCTCCCTCTGTTCTGTGGTAAGTTTCACTCTTTTAGATTCAGACGCCTGAAAGTACATATTAAACATATTATACGTCTATTCCTTTAAAACTTGGCCTGCACGTAAAGAATCGGTCACAGATGGTATTCGATGTCTTGCGACCTGGTAAAATTAAAATTATACACACAAATTTCATAGCAAGCCAATAATAAATTTAAAAAATCAATAAGCTAATTATTGCCATGTTAGCTATTTCCAGCCTCATGCATTGTAATTTATTATTCTCAGCAATTAAAGATGCATTAGAGCCGACCATTCTTGCTATTTAAATTTAAATCATAATTCAAAGACAGTTAGATAATGAAAAATGAATATATTGAAAATTTCATTCAAATTAATTTATTCTGAGCAAAGCTGTTTGAAGAAGTAATGAAAATTGTATATGTATATTGTAAGCAACAATATAGTATTTGAATAAATAATTTCGATTATCCTTTTTTTGGTTAAATTCTTTTATATAATTCTCCTGGGGGTTAATTTTCTAATCCTTGAAAATTACGGACATCCAATTGTCTATGTCTCAGTAATATTTGAAGATAAAATAAATAAAGATCTGCAATGTGCAGATTTAGCTCTTACATAATGCATCATTAATAATATAATTTATATTTATATCATACATATAAACAATTACCATTACTGGAAATATAATTGTATTCGACACTTTCGTTTCACCCCTCAAAAGATTTATTTATTCAAAAAGTGGCCTTATTATAATATTACAATATGTAGCTGTTTTCCATAAGTATGTGTCATAGTTTATTACTATACTTAAAATGTCACAAAAACAAATTCATTGACTATGATTTATTTAATCAAATGTTAAAGTAGCGATGCTAAACGCCGCTAGGAGCGCTGGCTGTACTATTTACAGACATCACAAAAAGTTGACCGAGAAAAGTATACGTCGTGTTACGCCTTGTCATGAATATTCAAAGTGTCAAACATTGACCACGTGATGTTTACCATCGAGAAAAATAGATGAACTTGCTGTCGAGTAGGATTTTGAGAAGCTGAGGTAAGATTTTCTGATATTTTTCATGAATTGAAAATTTGAAGTTGAGAGAAATTTTCGAAAAAGGCCCTCGACGCTCAAGATTTTGGTATATTTGGAAAGCCCAATTCATTAACTACTTAGTTTGACCATTTGTTAAGTCCGTATCCCCCGTAGGAATTCGTAAAATGGCTGAAATTGAACCATGTGGAATTAAAGGGAGGTAACTCGTGGTTGATCAGGGTTCAGACCATAATTAACCCCCCCCCCCCCCACAGACTTCAGTGTAAAAAAAATGATGTTAGATTTGGACAGGTTTTTTTTATTATATTGAATGTTACTAAAGCTACCAACCAAACTTTAGCCAGACATTTCACTAACAAAGGATAAAAATTGTGAATGTTGTTGACCACCTTGGATTTTTTTTTCAGGAACTGTAGCTGAAGAAGTAAGCTACATAATATATACTCATCCAAATCCAAACATAGCCAAAGGCGATCCCTGATATTACTTGGTACAACATAAAATAGACAAATGATGATGATATATAGGCCTACTCATACAATTTGCATGAGGACTATAAAAAGGGGGGCTTGAAACTGACTGTTTCTCAGCATTCTCAAGAAAGTCCATAATTATTATAAATTTGGTATGAATCATAGAAGTTAGTTTAATTTATTGTTTGAAATCAGTGTTAGTAATCTTATTTTTGTTATTTCAATATTTGTGATAATATTTATTTTATTTTTAACATTTTCTACCTGAAAGAAGTGGCCTGATGCGTCAAATGTTTTTGTTTATTTTGAAAAATATCGCATATGAATAATGTGATTATTTTATATTGTTATTATTGTTTGTTTTTGTAAGATACATGTATTAGAAATCTTATATTTGTTGATAAATGTGATAATGGTTTCTTTTTTTTTATCATTTATTTTAAACCGGTGGGTGAACATTTTTAATTTCATATTAAAAAGTAACAGATATGAATTTTGATCTTATTGTGATTTTGTTTTTAATATTTTTATATTTTTATGACATAGATAATGTCTCGGCAAGATGTATCACCATCTGAATGTTTATATTGTTTTTATTTTCATGGGATAATGTCTCAACAAGAAAGCTAGACTTCTACCACTGATATTATAATATAGTATATCGTAATGCACATGTATCACAAATTAATTTTTTTAATACTCTTTCATGTAGATTATATCTTACTTTTTATAAGCTTACCTTTTAATTTGGACTCTTTTAAGATATTCAAATGTTTTAATTATGTCTATTAATTATGTCTGTTTTTATTTGAAATTGTAGTGATGTTGATCACAAAAATATAGCTGTTATATAAATCATAGTTTAATTGTTAATTTTCATTCCTGAAACAAACAATTTCAAATTGATGTACATGGCAGCTTCTAAACAACTAAAGCAGTTGGCGTGGCAAAAGAGGCAAATCTGCCAAAAGCTTACAGGTTTATTTCTCATTTTGCCACACACTTTCATGATTTTTAAAAATATCCACAGTATACGTTAGTATAACCGGTTTATAATTGTTGTATGACTGTGAATGGCCAGTGGTCAATGGCCTCGGAACCAGTAGGTGCCCAATTACATACATAAACTTGTTTCTCTTCGACATTGACATCATACAGTCAAAAATTGTGATTTAAGGTGTTGTCATGCAAAAAATAAATAACAGAACAGACTGAAAACACTTTTATGTGTGCTTATTCATTAAAAAATAAGCCTCTGTATTAATGTCAAAGCGCTACAATTTAAGTACACACAAATTTGAAAAATTTTTTGCTGTGATTTGTGCGAAATCGGCACGGATCCCAACTTTGAACCTCTGTAACATAAAAAGTATATACTAGAATATTATAGCGACAATTTGGCTTTATCAAGTACATCTAGATCTTTAATTAGTGCAATTTTCATAGACCTATCTTGTATAGTTACTGAGATATTGGCTTCGGTCACTTTTTTGCGGTTTTTAAAAAAAGCCGTTTTTTAGCGCCTCTGGTTTGCCTTCTTTAAAACGCTATAACTTTTTTAATTTTCAATATTTTTTCGAAATTTTTTCAGATTATTCATTCTAGATAGTTCACAATTGCAGTATCGTTGTCATTTTTGAGTCAATGGTTGTATCTGAAAACCCGTTGGCAATGCTAGTTAAAGGTCATCAAATATTATGTTTTCTACCATCCTTACCATTTTCTTCAAGTTTCTCGTGATAAATCTGGAATGTTGTGATGCGAGAACAAAGAGCTTTCTAGAACCAAATCTCATCGATATTGCAAGTGCCTATTGTTATTAAAATTAACAAATCGTGCTGAAAATTATCTTTCTGTTCGTTTGTTTTATTAAACGGGACACCTGCTCGATTCCGTAGCAATGTCAACTAGTCATTTTCTAATACGGATATTTCATACATTGTTCCTGTAAAACGAGTCTAAACTCTCTTGTTTTGGAGGCCGTAATAGCTCGGTTTTGTACAAATTATTAATTCAGATGCTTAGTCAACTTATACGAAATACAAATATACATTTTAATTCTGTCATTATTCTTTGTACAAATTTAGCTCCTATTCATGGTCACTATAATATTTTCACCTTACCCTTGATTTCTGTCAAATCATTTTTAACAAGTAAAGATAAATAATTATAAAATTTCGTTCTTTTAATTTTAATATCATAAATTTGATATTGCCGAATTTCAAGTATGGCGTCGTCCTGCGAAAATCCCATGCTGTCAGATGCAGAATGGCTTGTTATGAGAGCAAGGGGATACGCAAAATCCGATCCATGGGCAGCAAAAGCTTGGCTGATTACTGCTCGAACGCTTTTTCCAGGATCCTTTTTGATTCAGGTGAAAATTACATGTAAAATGCAAGAAAACCACAAAATCGTGCCCAAAACACATCTGTATTCCTGTAAATTGAAAATCATCATAAATGAAATGTCAACAATAAATGTCAAAATGAATCCAATGGCAGAACTGTTAGCGATGTGACACACCGAATATAAAATCTATGGCCCTCACAAATTAATGAGGTGGCAAGGGTAATATGTAACAGGCATTGCCTGAGTGAGGAAAACGAAGCTGATTATTGTCAAATATAAAACCTTCATAATTAATTTTCTGAAGTGATACAAAAAATGTTAAATAATTTAGTTTTTCCAAATTGAATTTTATCTAGATCTAAATTGTATACATTAATTTCGTTTTTAAAAAAAGAACAAAAAAGTGTGAAAACTATTTTCATTGACGTCAAAAATATTTGACATCATTGATTAGACGCCCAGTGTATCCGGTTCCGGTCTGAATTTTTTTTTAATCAACAGTCTGTGGGTGACAATTTCAGTTACGCTCCTGTGGAAGAGTAGCCTACAGACAAGCTTGGCTACAAATACATTATAATTGACTGTTTAGGGTTTGCTTTAGCCGCCGGTGAGAAATCTTTATAAAACACATCCCATAAAATAAATCGAGACACATTCCATCAAATTACCAACTCGAAGTGCAGCTAGAGAGGGATTTCTTGAGTCAGTATTTCAGCAATATGATCCCAAAAGTCAATCTATTATAACACTGGAAAAACTGGGACACATTATTCATTAAAGCAAGCATGTCCTGTTTGTCCCTATAACAGCTGCCGACTCTACCTGTTTGTCCTCTACACTAGGACATTCTGCACACAGCTGACCATCTCTACATGCGTGTCCTGTCTATACTGGGACATTCTGCACACAGCTGACCATCTCTACATGTACATGCGTGTCCTCTCTATACTAGGACATTCTGCACACAGAAATCCATCTACTCTTCATACTTCAAGAATAGATCTCTGCCCCAAATAGCTGCCATATCCAATATTAGTATACTGTTTTGTAATGCTGTTCTACTCCGTTTCACACACAGACCATTTCATTGGTTAATCCCTTGCATCATCCAGAACGCAGGTTATATAACAACTCTTCGAGATCCTAGTGTAGTAAAGACATGTAAAACAAAATTTTGAACTGTGTTTTTATCAGATTGGTACCGGTACTTGTATTTACGAATCATATGATCAATAAATTTATATTTATTACAGTTTGAGTCATACCAGTTAGAAAAAGGAGCCAGGAATATTAAAGATGCCGCTGTTCATCTTGAAGATATGTAAGTTTCTACTCTACTTACTCCTTCAAGTCCTGTTTGTGTACAATGGCCTCTTAAAGTCTATTTGCCCACATATTATAAAAGACTCGGTGATCTTATCACATCTTTGACACACTATTGTCCGATCTCTGTAACAGAAGGGCTAAGAAAGAGAGAGAGGGGAGAGAGAGAGAGAAATGGAGTTATAACCTCCAGTTGTCCACTGGACACAAACTAGGTAATTTACGAACTACATGTAAACACATGGTTCAATTTTATTTCAGTAATCTGCTTGTGTGTAGGGGTCTTTAGCTGTGGGAGGAAACCAGAGAACTCAGAGAAAACCCACAAGGTTGGACAGGCGACCCTACTCCTTATCAGGTACAAGTGGGGAATCGAATGCACTTGACTCAGTGACAGACCTTTTGATCCAAATGAGCAGGTGTTAAACCATTCAACCACCCTTGTGGGGGTTTCTCTGGGTCCTCCCACTGCTAAAAGACCTCTAAGTGCAAGCAAATCATTGATATAAAATTGTACCTACATGAAACGTTAGTCCCAAAATGACCTAGTTTCAACCTTTGTATAGTATCATTGTTGAGAGAAATGTCTAATTGACATTACTAAATATACAACTGATCTTCATGCTGGTGCTTGAAAAATTCCTCTGGAAACAGAAATTTCAATTTGATTACGTATGGATTAAAATGAAAATAGCTGCACTACAGTCTACTCTTATATCAAATTCCAACTGTCAGGGGATCTTTTACGTGCACGCCAATGTGTACACAGGACCTCGTTTTTTTTGTGCCATCCGAATGACTAGACAGCTGTCCTTGTCAGGCCCTCCACATTGATTAAAGCTAACTATAATTGCAGGTTGAAGAATTTCCAACATGAAGGTAATCTATGGAATGAAGTACAGTCAATATTGGAAGCATTACAGACAGATACTGGTAGTCAAGATTCTAAAAATAACTTTCTTACAGGTAATATTACATCATATACTTAAAATAACTTTCTTCCAGAATTTGAAATGAGTGCTACTTGTTACATATTTGGAGATTATGTAGAAATGTCAATTAAACCTTCCATACATGAAATTGATTAAAACATCCTTATCATATTATGACCCACAGATGGGCGACATTGGCACTGGTCTGACATGACCAACGGCCACGTAGAAGTCATTAGTTACTACCCCTGGTCTGAGTTATGATGCAATATAGCCAGCTGCATAATCTCTTTGATCATCCTTTGTCTAGAAGGGTGATTATAAGCAGGAATCAAATGGAGATTATTCATTCAAGACGAGGATGTCTTGGAGTTAATACCAGAGAGCATCATGGCTCCCTCAACACAAGCTAATTACGAAGTCTTTAACTATAAGAAGTTTTGTACTTGAGATGTTTGAAGAACAATAAAAGTATCATATGAGATAATAAAAAGAGTTGGGTCTTATATATAGAACGATTACTGTAACATACTCCTTCCTGACTACGGTAAATGCAGAAGGACCTAGTGGGTTTTCTCTTGGTCCTCGAGTTTCCTCCCACTACAAAAGACCTCTATGCGCATGCGAATTATTAAAATAAAATTGAACCATATATTAGTCCCGAAATGACCTAGTTTGTGTCAAGCGGACTTTTAACCCCATTTATCTCTCTTTAAAAGATTATAGAAATGTTTATGTTCACTGTTCAGATACACTAGGGACCAGGTATCATTCAGATTTGATGAAAAAAGGAAAGAAACTGAGCTTACCATCTATAATCTAATACACAGATTCAGTTAATAGATTGCCATGCAGAAAGTGTTAAATACCATCAAGATTCATCAAAAAACGCCCAGTTTGTGCTACCATTTAGTTTGACATCGGTTGTCTAGTTTATGAAACTAAATGGTCATAAACTGGATGACCAATATCAAAACTAAACAAAATGGTCATAAACTAGATGACCGATGTCAAAACTAAATGGTGTTTCTTAAACTAAACGGTAGCACAAACTGGGCGATATTTGATGAATCTTGATGGTATTTAATACTTTCTGCATGGCAATCTATTAACTGAATATGTGTATTAGATTATAGATGGTAAGCTCAGTTTCTTTCCTTTTTTCATCAAATCTGAATGATACCCGGTCCCTAGTGATAGTTGAACATGTATATTATGAATAAACTATAAACATACTTATGGAAAACAGCTACTGCCCAGTTACTAAAAGCCACTTAAAGAACATGTATAGTTTTGTGATGTATTTGTAGAAATATTTGCTGCTACCCCAACACATGTTCAATGTCAGATGTTATTATCTGTAGCTGATAAAATGAATGATGTATTGGAAAGATGTAGATTACTTTTACTTGCCATGAAAAAATTCCCAAATCTTGTTACAGAACATGGGGTAAGTACTGTAATCTGGTGTATCTTGCACTACTTCCCTAATCTTGTTACAAAGCACGGGGTAAGTAACACTGTAATGTGGGTATCATTTAATCTGGTGTATCTAGCGGGAGCCATGGTGGCTAGGTGGGTAAGGCGCTGGCTCGCTAGCCTGGAGGTCGGGCGTTCGATCCCTGCATTGGCCGAGAAAGTTCATCCTGCAGGACGAAGGGCCTGACAAGGACAGCTGTCTAGTCCTTCGGATGAGACAGAAAACCGAGGTCCCGTGTAAACACTGGAATGCACGTAAAAGATCCCTTGGCAGTTGGAATTCGATATAAGAGTAGGTGATAGTGCCGCTGCCCGGGCAAAATATCCCTCATAGCACACTGTCTGGCGTATGCCCGTCTTCATTAGCCCAGGTTAGGAGCAGAACAGTAGGATGTTAAACCCCATTTCATTTCATTTTTTTGATGTATCTAGCATCACCCTTGTCAGTGATGCAGGACAGAGGACATGGTGAGGGACATGGTCCGAAAACTGATGTCCTGGGTTCAGGTTGGTGTGCACGTAAAAAGATCCCTTGGCAGTTCGAATTCGAATTAAGAGTAAGCCGCTGTGCCGCTGTCCAGGTAAATTTTCCCTTACTGTATGGCATACACCCACCTTCATTAGCCAACAGAACAGTAGGACTTTAAACCCCATTTCATTTTGTTTATAGGAATGTATGATTACCCTGTCATTTCTAAAATAAAAACAATTTATGCAGTTCCTCTTTAAGTGATGTAGGCCTTACAGTAGTTTACCTGTTGTGATCTTACAGTAGTTTACCTGTTGTGATCTTACAGTAGTTTACCTGTTGTGATCTTACAGTAGTTTACCTGTTGTGATCTTACAGTAGTTTACCTGTTGTGATCTTACAGTAGTTTAACTGTTGTGATCTTACAGTAGTTTAACCGTTGTTTTATAGTTAAAGTTGGTAGAAATGTTATGTGTTTTACCATTGTTTTATAGTTAAAGTTGGTAGAAATGTTATGTGTTGAAGAAAGTAGAACCAGAATGACCTCCCCTGTTAATTGTTACAGAAAGTTATTTGGTAAGTATGGAAAAATATAAATTATCACACAACTAAGAAATTGGAAATCGGTGGCATATAACAATGGGCGGCATATAAGAGTGGGTGTCATAAAAGAGTATGTGATGTATAAGAGTGTGTGACGTATAACAGTGTGTGGCATATAAGAATAGGTGACAAACAAGAGTGGGTGGCATATAAGAATAGGTGGCATATAAGAATAATGGTATATAATAGTGGGTGGCATATAAGAGTGGGTGGCATATAAGAATAGGTGGCATATAAGAGTGGGTGGCATATAAGAATAGGTGGCATATAAGAGTGGGTGGCATATAAGAGTGGGTGACATAATAATAGGTGGCAAGCAAATTATTGAAATAAAAATTGAACCATGTGTCAGTCCCGAAATGAACTGGTTTGTGTCGAGTTTATTTATTGATGTATTCTATTTTTTTGTAGTTTGTGATATACTGCCCCTGGTTCTACAGAAAAACCGTCATTTAAATATTCCGCCTGGTCAGATGTTTTTATGGTTACAGAGAGCTGTAGAGTTTTATATCAGTTTTATAACGCAACCAGCTATAATGGACACTCCACTTTCTCCAGGTAACGTTGTAAATAAATGTTTGCAAATGATATTTAAAGGCTTGGTTCCAGATTCAACGGTTTCAAAGTTTCATAAAAGTTTACAAAATAAATGCTGAAACACGAAGAAATAGCCCAAAAAGCTTCTCTAACAGTTCGGGAGGCTAAGTGGGTAAGACGCTGGGTGTTCGATCCTTGCATTGGCCGAGAAAGTCCATCCAGATTTTCCGGCGTGGTTCCCCCTTGTCAGCGGGCCTGACAAGGACAGCTGTTTAGTCGTTCGGATGGGATGAAAAACCAAGGTCCCATGTACACATTGGCGTGCACAAAAGAGATCCCTTGACAGTTGGAATTCGATATAAGAGTACTCCTTAGTGCCGCTGTCTGGGCAAAATTTCCCTCATAGCACACTGTATGATGTATGCCCGTCTTCATTAACCCAGGTTAGGAGCAGAACAGTAGTACGTTAAACCCCATTTCATTTCATTTTCATTTCTACAAGTTTTACCTCAAAATACTGATATATTTGGCAGTGATCACTAAATCTGCTCAATAAAGTTATTGAGCTCATTTTGCGGAAGTCCACTTTTGAATTGTACAGATGGAAGGTTGGTATTTCTGTACCATAGAGTTTCTGTTATATGTACAAGATTAGCCTAAAAGTTTCTAAGAATATTTCATGTGAAATTAACGCATATGATTCAATAAAATTTATCTGTGTTTGTCAGTTTGCAAGATTTACTGGGCAGGGGTGTGTTTGCTGTAGGTCTGTCTCTATCACTACTGTATGCTAGAGAAAATTTGTGAATATGTGTTGTGAATATGTGTTGAGGACTGAGTTTGACTTGTATATACTGCTTTCAAAATTAGTTAGAACAGAAAAAAGAATAATGGACAACCATTCTCAGAAGTTTAGCAATCTGTGGCCTAATTCAAGAAAACTTGAACTAAAATATTTTAAGTATACTGATTGTTCAGTGGCTAAGTACTAAAATAAGAGCACAAATTTTACCTTTTGGCCAATGAAAAGGCTGCTTTCTTAAAATATTTTAATTTAACTTTTCTTGAATAAGCAATTAAATATGGCAGAAGGAAATAGATTATTGCCAATCATATCATTTTTTTGAAGATAGTTTTCAAGCAATTTGGTAGATACATACCACTAACTTGTAAAATTGTTAATTTATTTATTGGTATCAGATATGATGTCACCAACAAAAGCCCTAGCTAAAAGAGTTGTGAGTATTCCCGGTTTATTAGAACGAGAATGTCAGATTACCGATCCCTGGGGTAATCTATTCCGTCTGTTACAACTCGTTGGCAGCCATGTTGGATGGGAAATGGAGGCAGATGTTTTCACAAAAACAAGGTGAGAATCTGATATAGATTTAAGTTTGGATCTATCAAATACTATATCAACATGAATTTAAACTATAACACAATACAAATGGAAAAACAGCTACTTATTTGTTTGGGCAACGTTTTCCCATAAGTATTTGTTATAGTTTATTGCTCTATCCAGTTACTAAATGTCTCTCAAAGATTATCATGAATTTAATTGTCTTTATAAGCCCAGTTGATGCTTAAAAATAGGACGTTAAAATAAACCCCATTTTATTTTGATTTTACTTGTGGATTATCATATGAATAGGTTGAATTCAACAGATTTTTGTTAATTTGACATTCCATATTATCAAGACACCAATTAGTCACAATGAATTAAACAGATGTCTTCTTTCATGTAATATGGTTGGAAGAATCCCGCTACAGTGCAGGCAAAAATGTGATATATTTACAGGGATTATCAGGATAAATGTGATATATTTACAGGGATTATCAGGATAAATGGGATATATTTACAGGGATTATCAGGATAAATGGGATATATTTACAGGGATTATCAGTATAAATGTGGTATATTTACAGGGATTATCAATATAACTGTGGTATATTTACAGGGATTATAAATGTGGTATATCTACAGGGATTATCAGTATAACTGTGGTATATTTACAGGGATTATCAGTATAAATGTGGTATATTTACAGGGATTATCAGTGGCAGTATTTATTAAGCTTATATAATAGAAATAAAACAAGTTGTACGGATGAAGGAAGAAAACAGATTTTATATACCTGTACTATTCTATTTTTACAATGTTTATATTCCTACGTCAGTCATGTTGATGCCGAAAACTTCGCTGGAGGTGAGTATTGAACATCTTATATCACTTCTCAAATCACATTTTATATGTAGGAGGGCATGGATAGGTGGTTAGAACACTCGACTTACAACCAGAATGTTCTAGATTTGAATCTTGGCTTGGGCTGAAAAGATTCTTCTCAATTTTTCAAGCCCCATTCGAACTTGTCAGGGATTACTCCTGCAGACTTGACAAGGCAAGTATGCTAGTTATTCGGATGGAACATTAACATAGATACTGGTAATGTCCATTAAAAGATTCCTTGGTATTTATAATTTGGAGAAGAGGACATGGAAACGCTGAATATAGACAACAGTTATTGTTCATTTTATACTGCAGAAAAGTTGGATGTTAAACCAAATTTCATTTTATAGGCCTACTGCTTAAAAAGGATTTTATAAATAATAGATAACGTAATTAGAATATTTCAGTCAAATTGCTCCACTCTTAACCAAGATATTAGTTTTTGAATTTTAGGCTAGCCTCGATCATCTTTTCTAAAGTCGGTATGATAAAAAACATAGTCTCGATTATCCATTTTTATGTTTAATTATCCATCACAAAATGTATTCCAATCCACTATAATACGCAGGCTAGCGATGACATCGAGAGTTGATTATGGTCTGGATAAGTTAATTAATGTCTAATTAATAATTTAGAAAACATTTCAGGCCTAAAGAAAGACCTGCAATAGGCAGATTTAGCATTTGAATAATGTATGTTTAAATCATGGAAATGTTCAATTCACAGTGATTTGCCTCTTGACTGCTGTACTCATTTCACACCTCATTCGACCAATCAGAATGCAAGAAAATTCTATTTTGGGCCGTAATAATATGTTATTCTTTTATAATAAAAAGATGTATATGATATTTTTTTATTTAGTTTTTGCATCAACTGGATTATCTGCCCCTGTTGTGTTAGTGGAAGGATTCCGATCTGATAATGATGACAGTCAATCACAGTAAGTTTTTATACACCAACGTCAACACTTTACAGGGATTGTTTACAAGTTCATTTTCTCTGTTTTCACATAGAGTTATCTACCCCTTTTTTGATGGATACAGACCACAACTTAATTTCAATATCTCAGTTACAGTACCCACAATTTGTAGCTGGTCTATTTGAGATTGGTTATGGTGTATTCTACTTCAAAAAATCAGTGGTCAACCTCATACAAAACCTGGAGTAAAGACATGACCATTTGTTACTCTGTCAGTAGTAAAAAGAGTTCAGCCAAACGAAAATTTGAGGAAACGTTAGAGCTGGCCAAATAGACCAGAACTGACATTGAAGTCCATAGGAAAATTAATTGTGGTCTGCAACCTGATCTCCTAAAATTTTGGGGGGGACTTAAAAGAAAACCTAATCATGCATGGCAGCTTGTTTGAACATTTGATTGAATAAAGTTTAAAAATAAGAATTATTGAAGTGAAACACCTTTTTTTTTTATTCCAACCATGAAACGCCATATCCACACAAGACTTTTATTGGTTATTTACAGACCGAGATTAAAGAGACATAGATCTGACCAATCACTGCCTCAGATACAACCTAGTTCATCCATTCACAATGCTTCTAGTATAACTCTGAATTTTCTCACTGCTTTAAAATGTTTTGAACTTCTCCATGCTTCTGATGAACTAAGGAGAGGTAGGTTGATGTTTTATTTTTTCTTTATTAAACTGGAGCGTTATTCCTGAAAACTTAAAAACTGAAACCTTTTAAGAAAACTAAATTGTTCATTGGCTGAGTGGGGTGGTGATCTTGGGGGAGGGTTATTTTTTAACGCATTCACTTTATTTCAAGTAGTCTGTCAAGTTGTATAGTTTCGATTCCACACATCTACCTGAAAAGGGTTGTCTGTCCTCTGGTTTCCTATAGATGCCTACACACAAGCGAGTTATTGAAATAAAATTGAACCATATGTTAGTTGCTAAATGACCTAGTCCTGAAATGCCAATCAAAGGAGTACTAGTTTTGTCATAGGGACGTCCTCCAAGAAAATTTCCTTATAATAGGCCCTGGTGGTCAGCGAAGAGATTGTTAATTAATCCCTTGTGAACGCTGAATTTCTTAACAGAATGGTTGAATTAAAAATTTGGCAAGTCTGGCCAATATTACTGAAATGCGAGTCCTGAGCAACACCCTACCCCTTCAATATATAGGATACGATCAATACCATGCAGTGCCATGTATAATCTATGACTTGATAATCATCATGATCACTTGTATATAGACATGATTATCCAGGAAATTATATAAGTTTTATTAACTATAAGACATGTGATTATAACAGAGATGTCATTGATAATTATATTTCAGTGTAAGATCCAGTATAATCTTTTAAACTATTCTACATTTATGATGCAGTATTCTTCCTTGATTGAATTTGTCTGTGGTTTTATCCATTAAATCAACATTATTTGTTGTTGATGTTTCCGTGACACACAAAGCTTTTATGGAATACAATGAATTTAATTATTGTTGATAACGACATTGATATTTAGCACACAGACACCCATCTACTTCATACTTTGAGAATAAATCTCTAGCCTGAATAGACATCATATCCAAAACTTAGTACAAGTATATTATTCTGGAGGCTCAGCACGGAGGGGTGTCCATCAAATGGGCACAAAACCAGACCCAACTTTTCTATAGTAAAAGTTTGCGTAGAATACGATGCCGTGTAGTAGTCTGCCCTTGGGGCATTTTCGAAATATTCAGGGTCAAAGGTCAAATGAGTTCATTAGCAATGTAATTGAATGTGCAGCCATTCCTGTATCATGAAAACAAGCTGAAAATGATCGAAAGTAATCACCCTTTCAATAAAAATGTAAACTTGCTAAATTCATCTTTGTTCTTTGTGTCAAAAGGTCACATTTTCCGTTTTAGCACTAGGAAGATTTAAAGTAATAAATGTCAGCGTAAAATATAAAAACTAAAGCGAAACCTGTTCTAATTAATATTTAATAAAATTTATCTTTAGGTGGTCTTAGCACTAAACTTTTACTTTGGAACGTCGAAAGAGATCTTGCATAACAGAACCAAAATACTTTGAAACATGTTTCAAAAATACGTAAAAACTGTCGAATCAAACTCTCTCCGACTTAGTTTTACAATGAATTCTATAAATACTAGTTGTCTGAAAAAACAATTGAATAGTTTCATGGCTAGACTCCAGTCTGCAGGCCGCTTCACAAAGCCTGCCAAACTTTTCCCTGGTAACATTTACCAATACAACATTTATATCCCGTGAGCTACTATGTACAATGCATCTGTCAGTTTTATCTGTGTCCATGTTCTGCCGAAATTCATGAAAACTCATAAAAACTTTGCAAACTTTTAATCTCGTCGTCAGATACATGTTTTCTGGTCACAGATTATCGTCGGTTTTCCCAGATTGGTATTCCCGGAAATCCACGCGGCCTGCAGGCTGGAGTCCAACCATGAAACTATTCAATTGTTTTTCGGACACCTAGTTTCATTATGCATAGCAATCCTTGTGAAACTTAATCAAAAAGATTTTGATTTGACAGTTTTTACATATTTTTAAAACAGGTTTGAAAGTGTTTTGGTTCTGTTATGCAAGATCTTTTTCGACGTTCCAAAGTAAATGTACGGTGCGGTGGCTCAATTTCGGCCAACTTTTGTTATGTTGTTCTATGGACCAAATACTATAGGAAAATGCAATAAAACGTTTTCTTACAATTGTTAGGAAGTTATTCTGCAATTTGTCCTTACTATAAAGAAAGACCTGCCATAGGCAGATTTAGCTTTTGAATTCATATTTATATTCAGTGGTTGTTCTTCATAAAAGTCTTCTATTTTATTCAATTTGACCAATTACTAAAACAGTTTGGTGGGACTGTTACAAAAGTGACCAGCATATAAAGTAGTATACTGTAGATTATACCATGTACTATTTTTTTTATTGATGTAGAATTTATCAGTTTATGTCAAAATTGGCAGATGGAGACGTGGTCGTGGATGGGACATTTTCAAACAGACATGTTCCTATATCAGGTAAACAGATTGACTATATTTATTTTCTTTTCTAGTGTACAGATTAAATTACTAATTTATTAGTTCTCTGTATAGTGATACAGCTGTTGTAAAGTCTTTAAAAATATGTATAGAGAGAGAAATGGGTTTTAACGTCCACTTGACACAAACTAGGTCATTTCGGGACTAACATATGGTTCAATTTTATTTAAATAATTCAGTTGTGCGTAGGGGTCTTTAGCAGTGGGAGGAAACTGGAGGACCCTGAGAAAAACCCACAAGGTTAGACCGACGACACTACTCTTTGTCACATACAACCGGGGATACGAAACCACGCCAGTTGACTCAAAGACAGACCTTATGATACAATGCGGACGCACTAACCATTTGGCCATCCATGTCCCATTTAAAAATATAAATAAAAATATAAATAAAACGTATGTGTATATATTGTATTATTTCTAGGGAGCATTTCAAGAAGCTGTGGCCCAAATACAGAGTTTTATTCTTGGTTCTAAAGATAAAATGAAGGTATGATGATTGTAAATCTCTTTAAATATTTCAAAACACGAAATCAATTTTAAACATTTCTTTTTGCAATTTACTTTATAATTCTACTTTTTGCAATGTTTCTTAAAATAAATCATTAATTAGATTTCAGGTTCA